CCAGGGTCAGCCTCATCTTTGTAAAGAGATTCAAGTAATTTCAGAATACTAACCTGCTGGAATACAAAATTTGAGATAACTAATATCTAGTGTTCTGGTGCTACACTTCCAACAATGCAGGAAAAACTAATTAACTAAGGAAAGCATCACAAAGATAAAGAGCACAATAAGGAGTTAAAATGAGGTACGTGACACCCTTTTTTGAAAGAATTAGCATAAATTAATTTTCCAGTCAGTACACTCTTGCTCTTATCGCCCATCCCTTCTCATTCAAAGTACTGTTCTTTTGCAGAAAGGAAAGTTCGCAACTTAATCACAGTTATGGATAGTTGTCTACGCTATTTGTCAAGATAAATGAGTACAAGTGTTTCCAAAACAAAAACAGTACAACATGATACACCAGCTAGAATGAACAATAAAGTTAAAAAAAAAGCATTTATAATATCAAGAAACACTTAGGACCTCATTAAATACAAAAACAGGACAACAAAATTGGGGGGCAACCGCCATACTGAAAACGGAAAAGCTTCACAAATCAACCTTTAAACAGTTAATGCGGTGATGAGTTTTTACACTACATAAAATAAAAGTTGGAAGACGTTACACACCTTTTCCAGTAGTCTCTCTATCTCTTGGGTGGCATTCAGTAACTCCAGGGCAGTCCGTATACGGGGTTTATGTTTGTAAGAGATGATATTATAGGCAGTCTGCATACAGAAGAACCAGGTCGCATCTTATATGATAAATTGGGCGCGGTACATACATGGTCAAGCAGGCGTGTGTGTCATTATGAACTCCTAAAACCTATCATGTCAAGCAGGTGTCTGCATGTCAAGCAGGTGTGTGTGTGATATTTCTGGCACAAGCACTATTAGACTCTAATATCCTGCAACCATAACTTTCCTGAACTCCTAAAACCTATAACCTTTTGAAGCTGATTTGCTACAGAAAACAAAGAAATACGTACCAGTTCTTTCTTCTTTGCATCTCTGACTGCCAATTCTCCCAAATCCTGCGTCGGAACTAGCTTCTGTGTTGGGAGGAACTTTGCGACGCCAATTAAAATTTGTGTTACTAACCATGGTGGAACCATGTTATCTGCAATCTATATGACAAACCTGTTATCTCTCTATGTGAATCAGATATCAGAAGCATCAGTAAGAATTTAGATGCATTTCCAGAAATATACTTTGCACATAGGTGCCACAAGAACAGCACCATTCCAAGCATTAGGTTGCTTCTGGTGAACTTTCAAAGCTATAGCTCCACCCATGGATTCCCCAAATAGGAAGCTTGGTAGATCATGCAACTCTAGCTTTTCTGCAACCAACAGTTAACTGTCATTTCTCCAGTATAGTGTCAAGAATTACAAGGAAATGAAACTTAAGCTCGCGTTGGTCACACCTTCACATGTAAGAACTTTTGAATTCCAATTCTACATATTATTTGTTTCTTGAACCTCTCAGATGAACTCCATTAAATGATGATGATGATGAAGTTGGTTATCCAATTGAGTCATACCTTTAACTTTCGAATAATGCTCAATAACATCATCGACCAGCTTGTCGAAACTTGGGATATAGCCATGAAGACCTTCTGAAAGACCAAATCCAGGGTAATCCATTGCAACTACTCCATAACCAAAAGATGCTAATTTCCTTGCAATGCCTACAGATAAGGACAGTTATTACAATGTCCTTTTTTTAAAAAATGACTTGTCTGAGACTTCAGATGCTTTTGCAAGCCACAAACCTTCGACTAAAAATGTGCATGTATCCCCATAACCATGACAAAAGTAGACAACAGCTTTGGGATGTATCTCTGGAAGCCAACTTTTGGAGAAGATTTCCAGCCCTCGAGAATTAACCTCATAAGACTGTCCAGCAGAATGTCGAATTTGTACAATGTAAATCACATAAATATTATGGCTATAACATCCAAATGCCAATAACTTATGCTAGATATGAATATATACGCTAAAAAGAGACTTCTCATTTGCCTTAGTACACGCAAGGGAAAAAACGCTAATACCCAAAGCATCCTTGAGGGACCAAGTCATCTTTCACGAACTATCCTCTTTGTCACTTGCAAGAAATTTAATGAATATGATTTATAAGAACGTTTACATTACTGATAACATGTAATAAAATTTGGAGCTTATAATCTTAAGAACCAAGCATATCTCCTCCCAATGAGTATTTGAAATTGTCTTATAATCTAAATTTAAGCTTGACAGTTAAAACTGGATGTGAAATGGAAACTAAATCCCAATTTAATTCTTCTTACGCCATCCAATCATTCCTATGCGAAATCTCAATTCCCAAATAAGAAGTGAAGCAAACATCATTTACTAAAACAGCAGGACCGATAAAAAATCACACATTAGCTCCATCTCTTTTTTATTTTTATTTATTTATTTTTACGAGCTATCAACGTCATCTCTCATTTGAAAAGGCCAAGTAGAAAGAAGGCCATATCCATAGTTTGCTGTACTACAAAGTACACAACAAGCAAATGATACACAAATTGACTGTTTTAGCAAGGAAAATTAGGCTATAAAGCATCAAACCTTTCCAACAACATTAGAAAAAGGAAATAAGAGCGTAAGCTTTACCTCCTCCATCTTCAATCCAGCATGTGTCACCTGGTGCAAAGATAGAAGAAGCAATCATTAAATGAACATGAAAGATGAGTAAGAAACGCGTTACTTTCACATAGGATCACGCCCACTTGGGCACTTTTCTCCATTACAGTAGACGACAAAGGTAAAATATTAAATAAGTACATCGGTCTCAAGTCTCAACTGTCAATGTTTCCAAAAGTAACAATCTTAATGAAGAAGGCATAACAAGCTTACACTGGAAAGTACATTTGCAAAGATGACGTACATAAAACAGTTTTAACCAGATAAATGCTTCCTTTACAAGATTATACAATTGACAAATGTCCTTTCATCTTTTTAGGAACCAAATGAGGATTGACAAGATTAATAGCTATCCGTCTGATGTAAGTTGGAAAAAGCCAATTTTGTTAACACTATTTTAAGTTTCTTAAAGCCATAAATTCTTTTTGGCCTGGATTTAGGAACAATGTGCCACTAATGTTTTGATCACTAATTGACAGAAAAGGGAATGCTCAATCTTGATATGCCCTTGAACTGTTAACAGTTGTCCAAAGTGAATTCACACGATAGAGAACCTCTTGAATCAATAAGCAAATCCACAAAAGCAATGGATACTGTTATCAGCACCCCAACTGCACTGTCGTTAAATCCGCCAGCAGATTATATAAGGCGATATGTTCAGTATGGCTGAAAACATTTTCCTTTTTCCTTAGTGTTTAGTTATCTCGAATTCTGGAGAATATTTTCGTGCAATAGTTTCCATCAACAGAGCGAAAATGACTTCACTCACTTATTATTTTTCCTTTACAAAGATCCTAAATCCTAATCAATGTCACTTACTTCTATTAACTGTTTTTTCTGTCAACCTTAAGTACTCAAGATTATGCCAAAACACTATTCTCATACCTTATCCTACATCTTGGAAAGTTACCATATATCAACCAAATTTTATATCCAATCAAACGCTGGAAAATGATTCAAAAAAATTATTTTTCGGGGTAAAACATTTCCCACTAAAAACGTCCATATCAAATGCACCCTAAAAGTAGAACATTAAATAACGTTTACAGTCTATTTAGCAAGAAATATTTAATTTATTTAATTAGTCCCACGCAAATACTTCAGTCCTTTTGCAGTTTGCACCATTGACAAAAACCATCAAGATAAGATTACAATCAGTCAGTTTTATGCAATAAAAATCCAAACTTTGAAGCAAAACGTCTATCTTTTTTTCTATTATATTAAGAATAATGACAATCCAAGATGGTTGAAATACCTTGAACAAGATATGATCAATTGAAAGCTGAATATCCTTAAAAGCCTCCCTAGCACGACGTCTGGCCTCCACGTTGTCCATATCTGCATCCAATATCTTCTGCAATCCCTCACTTATGCCTGGAAATTTCTTCTGATTTCCCATTGCAGAGCTCTCTCACGTCAAAGAAACTCTAGGCAGAATTAGATTGAAAAAAAAAGGGAACGAAAATTAATGCGCATAGAATCTATTGAGTGCCTTTGATAATATTGCTATATAGTAGTCCTTAGTCAATTCAACATAACGTATCATATTAATACTTTTCTAGAAGGTGGAAAATTTAGAAGAAAAAGAGAAGTACATTGGGATATGCAACTTTGACGACAAAATTTTAGTGGTGTGGGATAAGTTGTTTTTTTTTTTTTTTTTTTTTTTTTTTTTTTTTTTTTTTTTTTCCTGGTTTATTTTAAAGCCCATTTTAATTAGTTTAACAAATTGAGAAAATTGAAAGTGAGTGTTCGTACCTCGGGTTGATTATGTCCCTTTGAATAAAGGATCATAGTATTAAAGTTATGGTTTGGCATAATCCTAAGAATGAAGTATGCGCGTTACGGCTCTCGTGTGTTTGACCAATTTCGGAGGTTGGCCAAGGAATAGGAAGTCAAGTACAAACATGTATTGGTCTAAAATAGGAAAAGATACCTTCTTTAACCAAATAGCCCAAAATCTTGACTATTAATTCATCGGTTCCATTTGTACATGTTATTTACTCAACTCCTATTCCCTACTCAATATATTTTTAGTAAAATTGTAATGGATTTTACTAAAAATTAATATAAGATTCACATAAAGGGGATTAGAGTGGAATGATATATTCCATAATAGGTTTCATTCTTCTTACATAGTTTAAATCTTCAAATATTAGAATGTAATAGTTTAAAATCCATAGTAAAAAAGAAAAAGAAAATGTTAAATCAGGCCCCTTAAATAGATTTTTTAATTATCTAATATTACTTTTAAAAAACTGATGTTTAATTATTAATGTTGATTTCTAGAATTATATTTATTAATTAATGAAGATTAAATTTTGCTCCAAAACTGTGTATTTCCCATACGAGGAGCGTATTCACCGGAAAGCAGGGGTTGCCAAAATTAATTACTATGCTAAGTTCTTGTTACCTTTTCCTTTCCCAACACCACTGGCCACTTTCGAGAGCCATGGACCGTTGCTTTTCTCTTGCCGCCGATTGAATCGGTTTTCTGGGCCGATTAATTTCTAAAGATGAATTGTGGCACTAATCCTATGATTCAAGTTGTTTGTCCCAAACCTCGTCCAGTAAGGCATCCAATTTGTCATTCCAAATTGAGGTGATTTGATCTATTTCTCTTTATCCGTATTTTTAATTGGTTACCCTTAATTCTGTAATTAATTTCGGGGTTTTAATGGAGCATCAACAGTAATCAAGCTGAAACCTTGGATTCAAAAGCTGGAACAGAACTTTTTGATCTCATCCTAAAAGAGGTAGGGGACTTTCTATACATTTCTGACCTGAGCACATTGCAATTTAATCTCTATGGATTTTGTTTGTTGCCTTTGTTTCTTCGTGTTATTCTTATTATTTCACTAAACATTTTCCCAGGAAATTATGTGTACATTTTCAGATTTAGGGCAATTTATACATGATAAACCTTGTAGTATAAATTTGAATTAGTTTTTTCTTAAAGGCTTTCCATGTCAGAGGGTAAGGTAGAAGAATAGAGATCTAGTCCTTGGTAATATTGGAACCTCGCTAAGTTATGCAAGATATATATATATAGTTGCAATTATACTAAGTAGTTTGTCACTGTGAAAATCAACATATTCATCTGCCAATGGTTGTTGATTTCAAACTAGAGTACGATGTGATCTTACATGTGCAACAACAGTACTATGTTGCAAACTGCCTGCAGTGGTTTCTGCAAAGTTGGCGTACGTAGGATATTTCATAAGTGGTGTTACAATTTGAAGAAGTGGACTAATGAATAAATCACCATAATGATAAGTAGTGTCATTTTTTATATTTATCTTCAATATTTTTATTTTTCTTAGACATATCTTAGACAAGAGTGGGTTGCTCTAGTGGTGAGCACCCTCCACTTCTAACCAAGAAGTTGTGAGTTCGAGTCACTCCAAGAATAAGGTGGGGAGTTCTTGGAGGGAGGGAGCCGAGGGTCTATCGGAAACAGCTTCTCTACCCCCAGGGTAGGGGTAAGGTCTGCGTACACACTACACACTACCCTACCCAAACCCCACTAGTGAGATTATACTGGGTTGTTGTTGTTGTTGTTGTAGACATATCTAATAAAAAATTTCGACGAAGTGTGTCCTTTGACACCGCATGCAACAAGATGCATACGCCTGTTTGATCAGTGGCGGAGCCAGAATTATCCCTAAGGGGAGTCAAAATATAAATAAGCAAGCATATAAAAAAAATTAAGGGAAGTAAGTACATAGTATATATACATAAAAATAAAATATTTAACGTATTTACGCGGTATAATTTTCCGTCGAAGGGGTGTCAAGTGACTCCACTTGCCAATGAGTGGCTCCGCCACGGCGTTTGATGCCTAAGTTAATGGATATAAGTTATAAACACGACAATAGATAGATCTTTTACACCATCAGTATATCTTAACTTTTTATAGCAGGATAGTTACAGTTTTTATCAGGTTGTTTGCTTGTCATAGCAATTATTGGAAAATCGAAATGCAGGAATAACTGATGTGTAAATCACATGACATGATATATGGCCACAAACCTCCACGGCTTATGTCCTCAATAGGCATTCAACACAATAATTCTCATTGCCTTAAATGTTTTTACCTGTACTCCTGATATCAAACTTCATCAGAGTACTAAATGTGCACTACCAGAATACTCTTTGACTGTATAGATCATCTTTTTTACTTACCAATTGTCCCACATACCTTTTCTGGCCTTTCTATACTTAACTGCTGCTGTTTCTTTTTGTAGCACCGTTTCAGATGGTGCTTATGTTAATTACTTGTTCAATCGGAAACGCTAAAATTGATTATCCAACTTCCTATGTGGTCTAACAGGATGGCGTAGCTGCAATGCGATCAGCATCATCTCCTCCTTTTTTCACAGGGTCACCGCCTAGCCGAGCGATGAATCCATTAATTCGTGATGTGTACTTTGCAAACTATGGAAAGCAATTAACCTGTACTTTATCATCATCACCAAGTCCATCTACTTCAGCTTCACCTTCTCCATCATCGAGTTGTAAAGGAAGGTCATGCGCAAGGACAAGACTTGAGGCAACTCAAGCAACAAATAGAGTGGAAGGCTTTGATTGCCAAAACTCTCGCCTGACTGCTATGGTTTGAACCTTCCTTTATGAACTGTAAATGAAAGGAATTTTAACAGCTGAATGTGATTTTGTTTACTATAAGAACCTATCCATAAGAAAAAGATAAAAGAAAATTTTGACTAGAAAAAAGAAGACAATTTTTGGATGGTAATTAGCAATAGAGGCAAGTTTGAATTTTTCTTGTATATTATGCAAGGATGTCTATCTCTAGCAATTTTTGATGTAAGGTGGTTGATAGCTAGGTGATAAATTTTGTTCGTTGCCTGTATATATCTAAGTGTAAACAGGAGTGATTTTCTTGAAAATATGTAATATTGTATATATGGTGGATCTGTATTTTTAAATCGTGGGGTAGATTCCGTTCGGTGGTACTTTATAAATGGTAATTTAGTTATATGATCCTCTTCGTGTTATGGAGTAGTATTTTTCTTTCGTTTGGACGATCTAGTCCATATGTTGCTAGCTAGTACGTGTGTTATTGGATATAGATGTGGAAGTTTGTATAACACAATACACCAATTGCAACTTACAGGAAACCCCAAATAGATGTCTGCTCTTATTTTCTCTAAAGCTTTATCGACCTTTCCAAAAAATAGAAACCCATCGTCCTCTGTAAAGAGTTCTTCAATGTAGCCAAAGAAGCAAGAGTTGCAAGCCAAAAATTGGTTCAACTGCATGAACGTCAATCTTATTTATGTCACAAGATCAATGATCAGTGACACAAAAATCCAATTTCTCTTACTCCCTCCGTTCCAGTTTATATGAACCTATTTTCTTTTTGGTTCGTTCCAAAAAGAATGACCAATTTTTAAATTTAGAAACAATTTAGCTTAAACTTTTAATTATATCCTTAATGAGAAGCTTTTGTAACCACACAAATAATCTGAATCTCTTTTTGACTTGTTTAGGACTATAAATTTCAAAAGTCTTTATTTTTTCTTAAACTCCATGCCCAGTCAAGTCAAGTGAGTTGATTAGGGTATATATCTTTGTCAGTTAAAAGGAAAGGGAGAACGAGCGAAACAGAGTGGCGCGTGCAGAATGATTGAGACTAGTTAAGGGCTTAAGGCATCGTAGAACTTGTACCAGTAGCGGCACTGAGGATCAAAATTAATACAGCATTAATTATATAACGCTATAAATTATTATGGATGCAAAATTTAACCACTACGTATATTCAATCTAAATTTTCAGTGGCACTATAAAAACCAAAGACTGCCACCTTTCTTCCTCGAATTTATCACACTATCTCCTCGTACTATTTCAGAGTAGAAAGTTCAAAAGAGTGATGCCATGCCATTACAATTACAGAACCACCAAAACTGAACTAAGAGTTCATTCATTTCATTCCCCAAAAGAAACAAATCGAGCTCACTTACAGATCTCTAGAAAATCTGAAACAAACTGACACCTAAAAAGTATATTCTAGAAACCCACTGACACTTGTGTAGTACGAGTGATTAGCTCCCATGCAAAACCTTATAAACTCTAAAACTCACAAAATACCAAAAACAAGAAGCAGGCTTTCACATTGTAAAATTCATCCATGTGCCCAAAAAGTGGTCGGTGTTTTTTTGGAGACTTCTACCTTTCCCCTGTTGGGGATTACAGGTTTAAATGCTATGTGCTATTTCCCGTTCCAGTAAATGACGTTTTTAGCCTTTTTTTGGTTCAATTCTCAAAATTTTGAATTCATTTCTTCCTCAAACTATTTAAACTAATACTTAGTAAGATAAAAGAGTTTAACTTCCACGCGCTAGTGGTGTAAACTTTTGTTACATTAGTAGATGGCGGATACGAGATTTTCGCTTAGAGATTCAAAAAAAAATAAAAGGTCAAAAAATGAAAAGAAAATTGTGGTTAGTGAAAATTGAACCAACTACCTCACAGAGGATTTGAGCCCCTTGACTACTAAGCTATGCTTTTAGCTATGTCAAGGGAATTTAAACTGTAATATAACGAGACACAAAACAAATTTTGCCTTATATGTATAGTGTAATTTTTCGGCAAAGACGGTTTGGGTGAAACCACTCCCGCCCCTAATTATAGGTAAATCGTGTATAATAAGTGGGATTAGTAACTTGAAAAGTACAATATGTAACATGTTACAACATATTAAAAGTACATTGATCATGTAACAATCTCTCTACATTGTAGTGCATTATTGTATAATTTAATACAACTTTAATATGATGTCATGACCTTTTCAAAACTACCTTACTTTTAATATTTTAGACAAGCTTCATTAAATTCAATAGTATATCATTATTCTCGTAACGGACAAGAATTAGCCAGCCTAGCCTCGACCCTCGTCTACCTGTTAATTACTCTCTATCTATCTTCAATCACTTCCAGTAGAAATTTTAAGAATACATGTAATCAGATTATCAAAGAAGTACGGCTCGAGATTTAGTTCTCTCTTATCTTCCTTTTAATTTTTGCATGAATAAGAAAAAGCAAATAATGCCTTCTCAAGTATCCAAAATTTAAGACAATTTTAAGGAGGAAAAAAGAGTGAGAGGTTTGTGTCTGATTATGTGCTGACTCATGCATGCACGCATATAATCCAAAAACCTTAGCTTTGCTCCCCTCAGTATATATTCCCCCACTCAGTCCCTGCACTCATCAAAGCACAGCAGAAAATCTTCTCTTTAATTTTCTTCTTTTCACTTCTAATCTTTTTGTAGTCTCTATTTTTTGTTTATGGGATCTCTTTACGAAGGTGATGAGGTGAAGATTATCCAAAGAAAAGTAGAAGAGAAGAAAAAGCTGCAAAATGAAGTGATGGAAAATGCAGATTCTGAGGAAATAATGCCTTTAGATGTAAAAGATTACGAAGAGCTGGGACTGATAATAGAAACCAGCGAAGTGGAAAGTTTTGAAAAGACTTGTATAGATTTTAACGCTTTGTTTTCTGATTTCTGGCCTGATCAAGAAGAGACAGAAACTTACAAAAACACCTCATCATCATCAGCTGGGAGCAACATTTCAATGGTATTGGAGGAGAATTATATTAGTCCAGTAATCCCTCAATTAGTGGAGTTTGAGAAATGGATGGAAAGTAATTCTCCAGAAAGATCAGGGGAAGAATTATGGAGAGGTTATAATTTGGATTTTGAGGAGGAGAAAGATGATAAGATTATGGAATGGATTTGGTATCCTTACAGTTATGAAGAGTTCTTGCGTTTTTATGAAGGATCATCGTCATAACAGGAACTGCTAGTACTAATTAATTAAGAGACTACTTTTTTTCTACCTGTTTGTCTTTTGTGTAGTGCCCAAAAATAAAAGTCTCTCTAACAAATATATGAACTTCGTCAGTTACATCAAGTGTTGTATCAAACAAACAAAAATTAAAAAATGGGGGTGTGTTAGTTTTGCAAAATTTCGCCAGAATATACAGAAGATGTTGGTTTTGCTTGAAAATTAGACAACAATGTTGTCATTGCCCCAATTGAAAATGACAAAAGGGAGATTAATAAACTTTCTCCTAGTACTCCTGAAACTGGATTAACGAAGCCCTAATACAAGAAACAAAAAGAAACTGAGAAACAGTGCAAAAATAAGGCATGGATATATACATATATATATAGGAGATGGTTATGAACTTTGGAAGGAAAAAAAAATTGTTACTTAAAAGGGATGCCTGGAAAAAGAAAGTGCTCCTAATAAAAAAAGATAATGCAATGGTAATTAAAATATGGAACAAGCCACGCTTACTAATCAAACACTTAACACGAAAATTGACATAATTAATGCAATTTATTTGATAAAAAGGAAAGAAAGAAAAGGCTACAGAAACGCAGTTAACTCAATATATCCAACAGCATTAATTTAGGCAGATCTTAGAGGGTCTCACTGGTGAGAGAAATGGAACCAACACAAACATGATGAATATCGATAGCATAAGATGAAAACAACAATGTTAACAATGGCAAGCAAATTAGTAATGGCTAAAGCTATATTGTAAAAGATATCTTCAAGTAGTAATTGTTTTTGGTCGGGAGGAGTATCTTGTCGCTTCAATATCATGTCGTACAAAACAGTTTGTGATGTCTTTAAAGAAATTACGACAATTGCTAGATAACCGGTCTGGAATAACAGGAAGCCCATGCCTAACTGCAGCTTATTATTAGGCAGCCCTTTCTCAATCGTCATTTTTGTCCTTCTTTATTTTACGATATATATATGTATTTAATTAGTTTCAAGAATGGGAGCAAACTAATGGCAACCTTATATAGACAAATGAGATGAGTATAAATAGAGGATTACATATTCCTAAATGATAAGATAACTAATTGGAAAAACTCTTTCAAAATCTTTATTCAAATGATAATAGATATATTATGTAACAGTATCTCCCGAAAAACTGAAGATTAGTTAATATGATCCTATTATTACTATCTTCCACCACATGGCTGGAATTCTAATAGGATTCTAAAAGTAAGTTTTAAACAGGATCGTCCTTGAATCGAGTGCAATATCCCAAAGAAAACAATTTGCTAAATTTTCCAGAAGTGATCAGTTATAAAAATCCACGAGAAGATCCTAAATTAAGGCTGATCAACCAATTAAAAATATATGCATTTGTCAGTGTCAACACCAATTAAACGACTAAGGTGTATACGGGTAAAATCGAACTCGGGATTTGACCGAGCATCCAACACGACAGTTTGAGATCGAGAGATGGTGATAAAATCTCAGAGATCGGTTCCTGCCTTGCCGAATTAGCCACCGAAACCACTAGACTTGCCTTCGAGTTTACCGAAGTCATAACCGGTCCCGATTATAATGGTCTCAAAGAAAATATTGCCAGCTTATCTGACAAGGGTCCGAAATTTCCGCAACTAACCGGACATTACGGCGGAAATCACGAAACATACCAAAAAAGGGGATCAATAGTCACCAAATTAATGATTTTTTACCTTTTATAGAACAATAGAATAATACCCTAAAAGTAGGATTCCTCTAATATATAAAGAGGGCCTAGAAATTCATGAGAGGACATGGTAACATACACTCATAAGCAATACATTACCGTTATTCTTTAAGTTCTTATTCTTTGGTGTCTTGGTGGCGATCAAAGTACATTCAGCTCATGGGTAACCAACCTTCCTAGGTTGAAATTATCCAATTCACGTGGTTTGCAGTTAATTTATCATTATTTATTTCAATTAAAATCTAATTCATCGTTCAATATTGTTGGCCTAAGTGAAGGTTGGTTTTGAAGATTGACAAAGGAAGCTCAAGCATGAACCAGGTCCATCCCTTGTGTGCATAGATACGGGCAGATTTGAGGATGTTGGATGCACGTGAAGGAGATAAGCTTAACTTGGTCTAACTAATATCTCCTGATCGAAAATGGTTGCATAATTGATAAGGAGAATGACTCCT